TGTGTTTTGTTCCGTGCTTCCCCAACAAAGTGGTATCAGAGCTTGATTATTTTTGGTTGGCTTCTTGTGTTGTTTATGATGGATGACAAAGTAATTGTTCAAGGAATGGTTAGTTTGGACTCTACGAATTATTCAATTTGGAAAATTCGTATTGAGGATTATTTATGCTCTAAAGATTTGCTTGACCCAATTTTGTATAGAGAACGTCCAACAGGTGTTGATGAGAAAGCTTGGACTACCTTGAACCGGAAAGCTATTGCATCAATCAGAAAATATGTTTCTTTAAGTGTGTTGCAACATGTTGCTAATGAAACTAATGCTTTTGAGATGTGGAAGAAACTTGAATCCATGTACGAGAGGAACAATGCTATGGGAAAAGCTTCTTTGATTAGGAAGCTTGTTAAATTGCAATACAAAGATGGTGATAGCATTGTGGTTCACATGAATGCGTTTCAAGGTGTGGTAAACCAACTAGCCGGAATGAAGATGAAATTGGAGGATGAACTTCAAGCTTTGTTGTTGCTTTCCTCATTGCCCGACAGTTGGGATACATTGGTGGTTTCACTTAGCAACTCTGCTCCGGATGGCAAGATGACTATGGAGATGGTCAAGGCTAGTCTTTTGAATGAAGAGGCTAGGAGGAAAGAATCAGGTTACCCTAGCCAAGCTGAAGCAAATGTGATTCCAGAATCTAGCAGGGGGAGAAGCAAGAGCAGAAATCCTCATTACAGAGACAAGTCCAGGGGGAGATCCAAATCCAGAAAGAGAGATTTCATTTGCCATTATTGTCAGAAGCCGGGTCACATTGAGAGATTCTGCAGAAAGAAGAAGAGAGATATGTCCAGGGAGAGAAAAGATAAAAATGAGAATTCCGAGCAGAAGCCAGAAGAGAAGAACAATACAGCCTTGGAATCTAGTGATGATGATTTGTTTGTTATCGGTGATCATGGACTATTAAATGTAGCTTGTGATGACTGCACCTGGGTGATTGATTCTGGTGCATCTTATCATATTACTTCACATAGGGAGTACTTCTCATCCTATACTAGTGGTGACTTTGGCCACGTGAGGATGGGAAATGATGGTTCGTCTAAGATCATCGGTATCGGTGATGTTTGTTTAGAGACTTCCACTGGTTGCAGGTTGGTGCTCAGGGATGTGAGGCACGTCCCCGATATCAGATTGAGTTTGATTTCAGCTGGTTTGCTTGATGATGAAGGTTATGCCAACAACTTTTGTGATGGAAGATGGAAACTCTCTAGGGGCAGCTTGATTATGGCTCGAGGTAAGAAGCAGAATTCACTTTATGTTATGCAGGCCAGAGTATGTAGCGGAGATGCCAATGTAGCAGATGATGCCTCCGGCGATTTGTGGCATAAGAGGCTTGGCCACATGAGTCAAAAGGGCATGCATATCCTTTCGAGGAAAGATTATCTCCCCGACATTTCAGGTATGCCTTTAAACTCTTGTGTTGATTGTTTGGCTGGAAAACAACATAGAGTTGCATTTCATACTCGTCCCCCACATAGAAGAAAGCATGCCTTAGATCTTGTTCATACTGATGTTTGCTCTATGGATGCTAGATCACACCGTGGTGCACAATATTTTGTGACTTTTATT